AATAATCAGATGAATTTTAGCTAAAAAATTTTATCGCAAAAAATTTTTTTTTGAAAATGGATTAGTATGTTTTTAATAACCAATGTTAAAGCAATTTCTATTGGCTTTCTCAAATTACTGTACGCCTTAAACATAACCGCTCGGTAGGTGATACTTTCTGAGAATAAGCGCCAATGTGAGCATTTCAATTCATATTTCGTCAATTTATATTTTGCCAATTCATATTTTGAAGTAAAATACCTGATTCTGTTTGACTTGTGTTTCCTATAACTATCAACTGCGTGCGTATCATTTAAATAATACATTATCAAAGTAGATGATTAAAAAAGAACAAATTAAATAATCACAACATGCCTCCTATGTTGCCACTGTGCACACCTATATCAAGAGAGAAGAACAGCATAGTAATACCTAACATGCCACCGATTCACCCTGAATTGTGATTATTAATAAAATTAATTATTCATGTATTTGCATAAAATATTAATAAAATTTGTTAGAATTTGTATTTGTGTATTTACATTATATAAAAAATACATTTCAGTAAAGCCAATGTGTATAAAAATGACTTAACTTTACTCTTGCTTTTATTTCGTATAAGATGTTATTATTGAAAGTGGAAAAAGTTCAGTTGGAGCTAAAAAAAAATTTAATTTATTACTTTTTTGCATTTTAAAGTTCAAGCATATTGTATAGTTAATCATCTCCAAAATTAATGTACCCTTGCCAAAATTTTTAAATTTAATTTAACACTAACCCTCAATTTCTCAATACATGAAAAAATGGATTTATTCCACTCTGAATGTTTCTTTAAATTGCTTTAATTTCTCCCTTTTAAAAGCAGTTACCTTTCCACCTTATTTAAATATTCAGTATTTGTGTACTGTCTAAAAAATTTACAAAACTATATGAATTATGATTCATTTTTAACTAATTTCGGTTTATTATGTCATTTAATTTTGAAAAAAAAAATAAAGCTTGTTAAATAATAGTATTTTTTAAATTATCACAGGGTAGCAATCAATTAAAGGAAACAAAATGTTACCACTGAATATTTTGTTTTGTCTTTTCTTTCTTTCAACACTGCATGCGTACTATGTTAAACTAGAGAAATTACCGAAAACAGGGACTTCAAAGCTAATTTTCGGGTAAAAACAGAGATGCTTTTGCGACTGAGCTGAGCTGTCAGGACGACTTTCTTTATCCAAGATTTTAACCAATATATAATCATCTTTACGAATGTAATCGGTAGAGAAGAAAATAAAAATTTTGTTTGGAAACGGAAAATTTTAGTCAAAAGAGAAATTTTAAGCTCTACTTAGTGAAGAAAACAGAAATTCCAGTAGTTGAAATTGCATAACTGTTAATGTTTTTCTTTTTAAAGTTATTTTCTTAAATATTTGTTTTCCCTACTTTAAGAAATTATCCACATAACTTGAATTCATGACCCATAGTTTAAGAAGCAAATTTGCATTTCAATGTACTCAAAAGTAGCTCACTCATAATGTAAACTAATTGACGTTATGAATTTTTTATTAGTTTTCTAAATTTTAATTACTTGTTTAATTGTCGAATGCGAATTTATTAGATGCAGATAACAACTGTGTATATATATATATATATATATATAATATAATATAATATAATATAATATAATATAATATAATGTAATATAATATAATATAATATAATATAATATAATATAATATATAATATAATATTCATTTCTTACTGAACGATCTTCATATTCCTTAAATTTTTTATACATTTAAGTGACTTGTAAAAGTAATTTTCAATTTGTAACGCTTTTGTATATTTTGTTTCATTGTAATTGACATTTTCCCGAATTTTAGTGTTTGATTTCTCACATTTCTTTCAAATGCTACATTATGATTTTAAATTATTTAAATCCATTCGAACAGATATTAATCCATCCACTGATTCGAAAAATTTAAAAGCAAATTTTAAAAAACAACAATATAAATATTATGTAATGCGGTTGTTATATAGAGTCACCAGTGATTTTCTCATCTTTTAATTTCCTTCTTTCTTTTTTTCTTGAAGTTTTTATTTTAAGAAATCAAGCATAGATATTAATATACAATTAATTTTTTTCAGAAAAATTTATTTGAAAGTTTTTTAAAATTAATTCTAATTTTCTCTTGTTATCAATATTATTAGTTTCTCTTGGCCAAGGCTTTGTATTATTATTATGTATTTCATGTATTTTTATCATTTCAGAAATTTACCTGACTAGATTTCAAAAGCATTTTAATTTTGATTAACTTATGGTACTGCTATTTCGACATAGTATGAATGAAATTTTTTTTATCTGATCATAATTCATACATAGCTTACAATAAACGAGTATTTTTTTATTTGACAATCGAAAGAAGACTTTTCCTTTCCTTTTTTTTATTTTTATGTTTTTAGTAAAATATTACATATTTTTAAATAACCTTTTATAGCATTAATTTATACGATTATGTCATAGTTAATTTATAAGTTATGTCATAGTTTGATTTACAATCTAAGTAATATTTAAGTCTTTAAAGTAAATTTTAATGTGTATTCCATCACGACTAATAATAAATTTACAGTAAAAATGAACTATTATTAGAAAATGCAATCTTAAATAATCCTATAAAAATACATTAAAATGTCTTTGAACTTTATTCAATACAATAGTATGAGGAAACAGAGTATATTAATTTAAGAACAGGCTTATTAAAACTACATTTTTATTATACATTTAAAGATTATTACGGCAGGTAGTTTTCTATTGTTTAAAAATCTTTTTAGAAAAGCAAACGCTCATAATATCATATTTCTGGTGTTATTTATTTTCACTATCAATGGGGAAGAGTAAAATAAAGCATAAAGATTTTAATATACTGTATGGTAAAGTGACTTACACAGACTATATTTTATATTACGAAATCAGACATAAAAACAAACTTTCTATAAACGTACTTTTTTTTTGGCTGATTTGGATTTCTGACTCCTGAAATATAGCCCCAATCTCGGGAAATATGATCCTATTAGTTTTGTCAGGAGAGCGATTCAAAGTTCAGATCCCTTAATGTTAATTTTACTTTTTGCGTATTTCGCCATATCTCGTGAAATTTTTAAGTAAACGGAAAATTTTTTGCACACAATTATAAAATTCATTTATCCAAAGATAATTCCATACAAACAATAGTTTTTAGTAGGTATTTATTATTTTATATAATAATAGTCGAATAAACTCTGAATTGAAAGGTATACAATTTTTTGCATTATTTTAAAGAATATAATTTTAAATGGCAAAGTTTGAACAAAATCAGTCGAATAGTTCCTGAGAAATTGAATTTTCGAAATACCACTTTTTCCTGACCAAACTGTCTCGAGCATATTTCTCAGATTGCTGCTTCCCCCTATATTTTTGGGGTCAAATATCCAAATCCGTAGAAAGAAAGGTATGCTTATTCAGAGTAAGTGCGTTTTTGTGTGTGATTTTGTAGCTTAAAATATCGTTTTTAATTTTGCACGCTGTACATTTTTTAAAAAAAATAATTCTGGTAGCGAAATATGTGTGACATGCAGAATTTTTTAAATTTCATGTTGTAAATTTTTGTTACTAATTAGACACCAAGTATGATTCATCACTTGAATAAGTTTCTCTGAGAGAATTTGTTGTATCCAAATTTTAAAAACGTTACTCTCACTTATATGAACCTAAGCTATTCTCATTAAGCTAGTCTAAAAATAATTTAAATTTTCTCTTCAATTCACTTTCTAACTTTACTTCGAGCCTAAAATGTATTATGCTGAGCTTTTATCTGAGTAAAATATCTCCAACAAGTCTAGAACACGTGAAACAATTATACATTAAAGGATCACTGATTCAAATTGTTTTTAGACTGATTTTTAATTCTTCTCTAATGCCATTCTTTGGAAAAAGGAAATATTAAAACAAAAAGAGCCAAGTTAATAGCCACTTTGTCATTTATGGTATTTCTAAATGGCAATTGCCTATGTAATATAGATTTTTCAAGTGTGCCTAAAAATTTATTTATTAACAATTCATATTCAAACGCATGCAATGTACAATTTGGTCCCAGCATTTGTTTTATACAGACTTACATTTCTCCCTATCGAAAACGTTATTTCGTTTGGCTTCTTCCTTGTAAGTTCAGTAAGCAATTCCTTACCAATTTAAGTACTTTTGAATTTAGCAGCCAGTATAAAATTTAACGTAAGTATATATTTCATTTAGTAGCTTCTTCTAAAAAGTGTTGTTCGATTCTTCTAAGTTGAGTATTAAATAACATTTGTGATTAGCACAGTGAAGTCGCTTCCGGCTCTTGTATCATTAAACTCTATTAAACCAGCATTTCTACATGGTAATTCACAAGAATTCATTTTTTAACAATTAACCTCGTTCAAAAATTTTAATGACTTCATGCGTTTGTTGTAATATTAAGCGTTAGATTAAGATTAATATAGTCGTATTGCTTTTCTTATATTAGCTCGTGCGTTTGCTAATCAGCTTGCTGGATCTCTGTATGTATACAACATTGATCTGTTAATAATTATTTACCATGTTTTTCATTTATGACGTTTTATGCAGTCTCTTGTAATAAATAAAAACTTGAATTTTGATAGCTTCTTCTGCATATGTCCTGAAAATATGACGATTTATAGTTTCTATATTAATGCAAATAAAAATTTCAAAACATTTCTTATTTTATTTTATTTCTTCTATGTTAATGTTGCTGTGCGTAAAAAATTAAATATTAGATTTTTAGCAAGAATTATTGCTAGGAGTTCAACATTATTATTTGCCAGCTTAGTTTTTATGTATTTGAGAAAATTATTATTCATTTATTTCTCTGAAGATGAGAAAAACCACGTTTTTAATTTGCTATCATTTCCAAACACTCACTTAATGATAAAATTTACCTGCAAATTTCTATTATTCTTATCTGAAACTCAATAAAAAATATGTATGAAAGTGCATATTGATGCGTGCGTGCAATGAACTAAAATGTATTGTGAAAATGCGAGCAGTATACTTTAATAAATCATAGTAAGTTAATTACCAACAAAAACTAAGAAAATTCAAAAAACAATTAAGTATATTTCAAACAATTTTTTAAATAACTATCAACACATTCATTTCTAAAATTTCATGCGGTCTCTTTTATTATCATTACTTCAGTTTGAAAAACATGTGAGTCTTGTTTTGAAAACCTTGAATTCTCATTCGCTGATATCCATTCAGCCGGCTCAGAATGAGACTACGCCATTGGCCATTGCGTCCGCAGTTGCTCTTCTAGTTTCCCTAATAAAATCCCACAGCGTGGAGTATTCGAATTCATTACTAGTTACTATAACAGAATGATCGGAAGTGAAATTTCTTATTTGAGCTTTTATCATTGTTTGGCTCACTCCTGTTATACATTTTGAAATTGGCTTCGTCTTATTTTTCTCACTGTCTCAAACTATTTTTAGAAGAAGTACGGTTTTTGTTCTACTCTTAAGTGACTGATTATCAACAACCGAAGAACGAATTCCAGTAAAAAATTAACTGTGTCACTAAATCTTTTTTTAGTTCAATTATTATTTTGAAATTATGGCTGAAAATAAAAAATCTATAGTTCCCGATTCGGGCACGAACTTGGAAATGACATCAAGAAAAGCTTTACTTCAGTACCTTGTCAGGTATGTACACTTTTATGCGTCAGTTTTTTTTCTCCCTATTTTACAAAATTGAGTTTAAAAAATTTTTCTAAAAATTTTTACAATTAATAAGAGGACACATTTTAAAATTTTGAACTTAAAAAAAGCAATGCTTTATGCTCAATGATATAAAATGCTTTTGTCATTACTTTTTACTCTTTTCGGGCCAGAAAAATTTGACCAGAAATTCAACTAAGAGAGCCGCAAGATTTGTGGTCACGAAGCGATCCGTTTATTTTTCTATTTTTCAAAATTTAATAGTTTTATAAAAGCGATATAGTTTAAAATATATAAACTACTACAGTTTTAGTGGTTTATATTATTGTCTAAAATAAGGGGGAGTGGTTTTAAAAATTTAACCGAATCACTAAATCTTTATTTAGTCCATTCATTATTTTGACTTATGGTTGAAAATATGAAATCTATAACCGATTTTGGCACAAATTTGGAAATAATTTTAAGAAAATCTTTACTTCATCATCTATCATTTACTTCATTATCTATTTTTTTCATTATCTTATCTATTTATTTTAATATTTTACAAAATTTGAAGTTGTTAAATAAATGCGGTTTAGTTTAAAAGGCAAAAACTATTACAAATTTAGTGATTCATGTTATTGTCAAAAATAGGGGGAGAGGGGGAGAAGTTTTAATCCACCTTAAAAGGTTAACAAATTCATAATATGGTACACTATTAAAATTTTTGTACATTTATTATTAATTGGAACGTGAACTGAAATATAATCAAATTAATTTAGAAATATTATTCAATTAATTTTCTAATTTTACTTCGACTTATTTTGTTGTTTCATTTGTATATTAAATTTTATTCCGTCTATAGTTTTCCGGTGAACCTACTGACTCAATTTATAGTAAAAACATAATCCATAGAAGATTGAAATAGGTTGAGAAAATGAACAAATAAATGACAATACAAATGTATTGAACAAATGAAAGTAGAAATGCATTGAATTGTGAATGATAAAAATTCATTAAAGAATTAGTGTGCAAGCGAATTGAAATAAAAGTATAAATTAAAATCAGTTAAAAAAAATTAAGGAACTTATAAGTCAATTGAATTAATGATGGTATGAATACAGGATGAAGTATTAAAAGTATAATTAAATGAATGGAATGTTATGAACGATAAAAATGCATGTAATTTTTGAGACTCTGAAATTGTAAATCGATTTATTTCATATAAAATATGCAAAGTAAGCATAATTTATCGCAATTTAAAATGTCATTAGGTAATTTAGTTCAAGTTAAATACTCATCGTGTTAAATCGAAATCCTTCTGAGTTATAATTTAAAAGCGTTTTGCTAAACAATTTAAGGTATTTAAATGAAGATTTTAATTTAATTTTGGAATTGAATATTTTCGTGTTTCACTGTGCATGTCTCAACAGAAACGTCACTACACTTTACAAGGTGTTTTAAATATTTTTGTTTTCTTTCCGTGCTCCTTGGAAAATGAAAGAGAGTTCCACCTATATTGTAGAAATGAATATTTTTCTTTCGTTTTTCGAATTTCCCTCTTAAAAACGAGTAATTCGTTTCTTTCTCTTTTCCTCTCTTCTCTTTAATCTGAATCTCTCTTTTTTTTAAATTCAAAAATTTGAAATTTAATTTTTTTCTCCAAAGTTTTATCTTATTATAAACACAACAATAGTGACCCTTAGAATGGAGAAAATTTCATTACAGAGAAAATTTTTAAAAAATTGAAACTTACACGATTACTAAAATTTTTATTGCAAATATCCTTGTTTTATTAAATTAGGGTTTATTAAAATCACTCGTTGCAGCACCCTTTTGATTGCTTAGAAATCTGTAAGTTTACCGTGTTTCTGGTTCTATGGGAACAATAAAAAGTTCAGTTATTTTTGCTAAAGCGCTTTGTTAAAATTAGCAATAGAATAAGGCCTTATAATATGTGATAAAATTAGGTGAGGTAAATTTTGATAATTTTTTCACGATACCTCAGAGCATTGCATAAAAACCATTTATCCGGCTAAATTTTCTTTTCTGTCTTGTATTTTTTACTACTTAAGTGATAATAAGAGCTATATTTATGAAAACCAAAATTCCTGGTAAACTGTCACCAAATAAATGCAAAATTATGAAATGAATGATATAAATACAGTATATTTTAGTTTTTATTACCAGAATTGTTTTTTTTTTATTACCAGAAATGTTATTGCCATTCAGTTCAGTAATTTTACCAATTTTTTTTCTGCGTAACGTTTTCGTATTGCAGTGCAAAATCTACAACCAAGTTCCCTCAATACCTTCAACCAATTCTGAATTGCTAAAAAGTAAAAGTTTCGGAATCAACTGAAACCGAATCAAATGAAAGGTCATCTCCCCATGTACTAATCAAAATAAAAAAGAAACCGCTCTCCTTAGAACCTTTCCAGGAAGTGGCTTCGATGGATATTGACTTCATCAAAAGTCATTTTTCAAGGGGAACGGGTATATGCAAGTTGGGGCACTAGGTAATAATCATAATAAACTATAGATTTTGAGGTAGCGAAATTTCAATTATGAAATGGCCACCTTCTGATTTCATGGTTATTCGTTTTTCTGAAGATTCTACAATAATTTACAATGATTCAATGACTCCTTTCTAAGACTTAAGCTACGAAACTTCTTTTTTTAATAATTAAGAAATTTTGCCTTTTCGACATAAACTAAATTGTTAAAAAAAATTTCATTATTTGAAAATGTTATTTTTGTAAAAAATTATGTTGTTGGAAGTCATTCACGCGAGTTACAGTTTATACTTTTCTTTTTCAATCTATTCCTAAACATAATATTGTTTTAAGTTTATTCAATCGAAAAATAAACAAAAGTGAAAGATATTTTCAAAACAAGTGAAAGTCTTTTGTTAATTTTCTTGAATTTGGATTCTCCGAATAGGAAAAAAAAAGTTGTGCGACTCCTTTTTGTTTCTCTATCTGAATGAAGATAAGATGAATCTTCGGATTGCGCTATTTAGAAATGAGTAACCATAGAAACGGAGTAAACAACGCAGTCATTGAGAAAAGTCGCTTACCTATTGCTGATCACTGCTTTTTTTGCGTTGCTTTGTCATTATAAAGCGGTGACAGTTCTGTTTTGTTTCAATCTTCAAAGTTTTGCAAAATGTTCTCCTGTGTCTATGTTAAAGATACCCAATTACCTTTTTTAAGTCAATTGTGACAAAAACATCTGTTTCCTATATATATATATATATATATATATATATATTAAAAAAAGTTACGATGATTTAAAAAAATATGTTTTTATTAGTTAGTAAATTGATAATTGTCTTTTGGTTGTTCTTTTTCACAAATTTAATTTTTCGGTTATTTTCCTTCATTCGAAATGTCAAATTCGAAATGCATTATCTCAACATATTTTAGTTCAAATTACTTGAATTTTTACATGAAATTCACTTGAATCAAATTCAAATTACTTGAAATTTTGCATGATTTTTTTTCTATACATATGTATAAGGAATAGACTATGAACTAGTTGATTAAACCATTATTTTATACTTTACAGATGGTGTAAAAATAGATCATTGCGATTTTTTTGACATTTTTTTGAAATTTAATTCAATTTTAACTTTGGAATTGAATATTTTCGTATTTCATTGGGAATATTTTCGTTTTCATTTATTTCAATGGGCATGTATTAACAAAAACTTCACTACACTTAACAAGGCTTTTTAAATATTTCTGTTTTCTTTCCGTACTCCTTGGAAAATGAAAGAGAGTTCCATCTATATTATAGAAATTAATATTTTTCTTTCGTTTTTCCAATTTCCTTCTTAGAAACGAATAATTAGTTTCTTTCCCTTTTCGTCTCTTCTCTTTAACACGTTGAATGCCATGGGGGTCACCGGTGACCGGCACTGAGTTTGATCGTAGCGCCACGGAGATCACCGGTAATCGGCGAAGCCAAGATTATTCGAAACACATAATTCGAGTAAATTTTTAATGCTTTTAATTTTTTTTTTTTACATTGTTATCGTTTCTAAATAGTTTGAAGAAATTAATGCAATATACACTGAGAAAATCATTTTGGCCAGACGGGCAAGCCATGTAAAATTAGCGTGGCATTCAACGTGTGAATCTCTTTTTTTTTTTCAAATTTAAAAATTTGAAATTAATTTTTTTTCTCCAAAAAGTTATGAAGCTTTATAGTATGGCCGCCGCAATGATTCAATATGACATACATTCCTTCGCTTAAAAATTTTTAAGAAACAGCGAAAAAAGCAAAATTAAAATTACCAATCTTTCGACTAAGCCATTTTGACCATATTTTTCCAAATTGTAGCCCCTTGTGCCACTGAAATCGAAAATATGTTTCTCTTGATGTGTTATTGTGACTGCCACTTTATAAAGCTTCATAACTCACCTTGGATTTGGGTGAGCTATGGTGGTTATGATTATGGTGGTAAGCGCATCTTACTCAGAAACTGGTGGTCCTTGCTTCGAATCCTGCCAGCATATGATGAACATCTCTCTTACACATTTCTCCCTCCGCATGAATTTTGAGACTATGCATTTTGCTCAAAAGTGAGTATAAGCTGATTTAATTTTGAATTCTACTATATTTGACACATTTTCTCTCAATTTTGAGAAACTCTTTTTTCCCGTGCATAAGCTTCAATCTGAAGATGAATAAAAGCAAATCGCGAATTTTAATATTTTTTTTAAAAAATATTAAGTTTATCATTAAAGACGATTGTTGACAATTTTTCTCAATAAATATAATTAATGTTAATTTCCTTATTTATCGACAATACTTAACACAGTAGCCAGCAGTTCATTTTCATTCACTTATCCTTTCTTCTGTTTACATTAGATTATTTTACTTAAATCTTTTTAAAGTACTTTTTTTTAAACATTGCTCCTTTATTACTTGGTAAAAGGCGTGTAGCATGTAGATTATCTGAAAAATTCTTCAGAAATCTTTATCTATGTTTAGTTTGA